TATGTGATCTGAACGGGGAGAGAGAGCTTGTGGGGATGCGAGTGAGAGGGTAGTAGTAGTGGAGGTGCCAATTGTGGGTGGTGCAGTGAAGGGGTGGAGATGGTTGTTTTGTATGATGGGTGAACAGTGGTGGAAGTGCCAATTGTGGGTAGTAGTGGTGGGTACCGATTATAAGTGGTGCGGTGAAGAAGTGGAGATGGTTGTTTTATATGGTGGGTGAGTGTGATACCCCCGGATTTCCGGATGCGGGTTGGCCAGGCCCACGCCCGATTACCCGAGGATATCAAAACAATTAGCAATTTAATGAACACAGAATACAATATAGAAAACAAGAATGAATAAAATTTTGCTGAAAAGAATCTAGAATGATAATCCAATAATTGAAAACCTCAGAATAAATAATTTCATTGATAATTAAAACTATTTTTGATACAACTGATCCACCACGAATGGAAATCGTTCTCCAATTTATACAACTCGGGAATCCATCTAGTGGACCCCTAAAAATATCCAATGGTACTCAAAAGACTGGAACAAAACCCAAGTCTTAACATGAAATAAAATCCTACGCCATCAGTAGAGTGAATAACTGTATCTGCTCAGCACGATCAAGCTCTACAGCCCAGAACTGACGAACACCTGAAAAAAATAATAAAAGGGTGGGTCAGGCCCACTAGCAAGTTCTAATCTAACTGCAATCCATACAGTGACCCGATACGCAGATACACCATAGATACCTCACAATATCTATCTAGTCCATACATATATATATCCACACTATAGGACATTCACTGAACTACAGTAGGGGTCTCAACCTGAATAGAAGGCAACATGCGAATACGCACCCAAAGGTGGGCATGAGTACCTAGACCTAACAGGGTACACCCAACCTACTATAACCAGCTACACGTCCACTGCATATACGCACCCTAACCAACAAGTTTGAGACTCAAGCTCAACCCGTGGTACCATAAACATATATATCTAAACTCCGTTCCTAACCATTCACAAGAAATCCAATAAGTCATTCGGCGTATTCAACCGTACCGACTTATATATATATAAGGAGGATTTATTTAACAACCCGTTCCCTTATTCCAAAACAGGTAGGACTGAGTATTTTAAATCAGTCTGTCCCTAGTATGCCACCGTCCCATACCGGTGCATACAATCCACAAAGTCCATATAATTGATAGAACCAGTCATACTGTTCACCAATTAAAATCCATAAGGTAGGAATTAGCATTTTGAGCTAAACCATACCTAGTATGCCACCGTCCCATACCGGTGCATACCATCCTCCATATCCATGTAAATTACAACATTCAAATGATAAGCAAGTAATTTACAAGGCAAAAACCAAAACCCAGATAATTGACAGAATTTTAATGTGAGAATTCAGCACTTAAAATCCAATACATAATTCCAAATAATTGGTCAAGTTTAATATAAGAATTAAGCAATTATAATCCAATATATGATTCCAAATAATTGACCGAATTAAGTATAAGAATTCAGCAATTATGTTCCAATACATAATTCCAGGTAAATTACAAGGCATAAATAATAAACATGTAATTTATAGTCCAAAACCAACCATCCACATCGTTGTAGAATAGTATTTAGTATTTCAACAACTTAAAACCAAAACCATGTAAATTACAGACTACGAATGATAGTACAGCAATTTAAAATCCAAAACCAATATCCAATTAATTACCGAAGATGTTTAAATGTTTCAGCAATTTAAATCCAACCAATTAACCATATAGTTGCAGGGGATGAATTAATAAATCAACAAATAACTTCCAGAGCCTGCATAGATTACATCTAACACATCAATGACCCCATAATATATTTAAGACCATTTACTAAATATATTACATCCCACTGGAATGCCTAAAAATAAGCTTAAGCATTTAAAACTTCATTCATCCACCAACCGTATATAATTGTACATAAGTGTTATACAGTTTGATCCGTTAATTTAGAATTAACCTTAAATTAATTTAGGGTCTTAATAACACCCAAAAATTAACTATTTAATCCCTCCGTGAAGTCTCATTAAATTTCTAAAATTTAATCAAGCCATTCAGTTCCTTTCTCTGTTAGTAGCATACACCGTTGTATATTTTTACACTGCTTCATCCTTTGTCTTAAAGACTTAAACCATGCAATATTAAGTTTAATAACACTTAAAATTAACTACTTAGATCCTCTGTTAAGTCCCTACAGTTCATTAGAATCACTCAGAAGCCCAAACAGTGCTCAAAACACCAAACAGAGCCCTAAAACCACTTTCTGGACGTAAAAATAAATTGGAGCCGGCTCTTGGAATGGAGGAGCCGGCTCTTCCCCTATTGGAGCCGGCTCCAATCCCCTAGGAGCCGGCTCTTGCTGAAGGGGAGCCGGCTCTTGACTTCCTAGAGCCGGCTCTCTCCCTCTTGAGAGCCTCCAGTTCAGTCTCTGCTTCGTTTTCGTCGATCTGCTCCTTCTCCGATCAATTCCTACCCCTCTGCTTGTTTCTTAAACTGACCTAAAGGATCTAACACCCTCCTGATAGCATCCCCAAGGTTTGATTATAGCAATTTAAGTCAATTACAAAGCTTAAGTTTGCTACCCAACTTAACATGCTGTTAGTATGAACACTGGAACCATATGCAAATTGAAGCAGAACGGACTGCAACACGTATTTAAAATAGAATAATAGCATCCCTATAAGCTTTGTATAACCCCAGTAGTGTTCCTATACTGTGTTTACAAAAGTTGCAATCACATACAGAGACTAAATTTACAACAGAATCAATATACTTGACGTACAGGATACTGAAACAAATATACACGAACTGTAAATATATTGGATTTTAAAACAAACAGACTATCACCCAAGCATATAATAAACATGTAGGTTTCAATCATTGATTAGTTATTCCCTAGAGATCATCTAGGTGCACAGAACACGGCCCAAAGGGAAAGAGGAAGATAGAACTTGCCTTTGTAATAGTTGGTCTGCTTTCCTCTGTTCTGGCCACACTGAAAATACTGCTTAGCCTCCTATTACTTCTGTGTTTCCCTTCTCCTAGGTTTGGCTTTGAAACCTCAGTCGAGAACTCACAATTTGCTCTGTTATCTCAACCCTTACTCTGCATCTCTCTGTGTTTTGCAAAACCCTCTACGTGTATATGCTATGTGATATATCGTAAAACCCTAGCTTAACGCATAATGGAGTATTTATAAACTAAATACTAAAACCCTAATCCTTGTCACATTGAGATAAAGCCCTAAACCTAATCCGAGTTTAGTTAGATATCAGATGCTTATGAGACGGCTCCAAAAACCCTAACTAAAACGTATCTAAAACCCTAGTTAATGGGAATGACATAATTACCCTGTTCAAAAATTAAATACTTAATAAACAATTAATTTAAACCCATTAATTAAATCAAATAAGGAAGCAACGAATCACTTAAAACACATAAAATAAATAAAACAAGTAATTAAAATAAACCAACAAATAAAGAATTACACCCTTAATTAAAATAAACAATAATAAATCAATTAAATTAAATTATCCAATTAAGTCAATTAATGCAAATAATGTTAAATAATTCAACTAAGACAATTAAACAAAAATAATAAACGCAAATAAATAATTAACAAATAAATCAATTAATACACACAAATAAACATTTATTCATAAAATTAATAAATAAAATAAAAATGCACATAAAATAACATTTAAATTCCAATTTTATCCCTTTTTAAAGTAGGGGTATTACAGTGAGCAGTGGTGGAGGGGCCGATTGTGGGTGGTAGTGGTGGAGGTGTCGATTGTGGGTGGTGGTAGGAGGTTAGAGAGAGATGAAAGGACCAGCGGTGGCCCAGAAAGTAGTTCACCGACACCGAATCTGAAAGCCCTTTAATCGCGCCGTTGAGGAACTAATCCTCTGATTGAGGAGGCCGACTCGGGTTTCAACAAGAACAGAAAGAGCAGAAAAAGACAGAGTCGAAAAATCTGACACACATATCTCCGACCGCAAGCTACACGCCGCCGTAATCAGCGACCCCGTCGGCTCCTTCGTGACTGAGACCTCGCCGCCAGCGGGATCGAGACCTTCTTCTTCAAGACTCGAGTGCATCCTCATCGGCGCCATACCTCTCTCCATGCTCGACGAGTTCTCCATCCTGCCGGAGCTCATTGACCGAAAAGTGACCCACCATGGATATCTTACTCCGAACACTTTCCTAGCATCAATCTGGTATTCTTTACAATTCCAACACAAGGCGCTCAATTTGATGCTTGAACCTCTTCCCCAATTCGTTAGTCAATGAGAGTTTATCTGGTTTGAGCCTGGTCAGAAATTTTGTTTGAGGTTGAATCTGTGTTTTTTAGTGTGACCAAATACTTTATAATCCTGTATCATTGGTGCTTTTGCTTATGTGAGTCAATACTTCCCATCCATTTTGGATTTTGGAGTTGACCCATAAATTGGTGTGATTCATTGTGACAGCAAAAGTAGGCTGTAAGGTCACTTACTGCAAATGTAGGGCATAATTTTAGAAAAAAGCTTCATGGTAGAGTGCGCGCGCGCGCGCGTGTGTGTATATGTTTGTGTATATATGTGTATCTGTGTGTATATATATATAATATTTGTAAATTTACAATAAATTGAGGGATATTTTAGTCATTTCACAAAATATTTTTTTAAAAAATATATTATAAAATGTGTTACTAAGGGCATTTTAGTCCACTTTTTATAAATAGGACCTATTTGCACAAATATCATAGTTTAAGGGTGTTTTTTGCATGGGTAAGGTGTAATAAGCACTATATGCATATTATAGGGATATTTTTTGCACTTGACCTTAGGAAAAAGGAATTTTTCCGCTGCCGGGACTCGGACGAGTAAATCCTTTGAGTTTAGCTACAGCGGATTGTTGACTCTTTTTTTCATTTTTATATTATTATATCTTTCAGTTAATAGAAGCAGAGGACCATCCTATTCCTCACAAATAAATAAAAAATAGTTATATTAATTACCCAAAATCGAATTTAGCGCTCTGGTGTTTCATGTGGTATCGGCTTCTTTAAAAATCCTCCGCCATGTCCGCACACCTCTTATCTGCTGCATTCCTTCTTCCTCCGGAGCTTCACTCCAATCCCAAATCACTCTCAACCACCCACAATGGAATTCTCAATCCTCGTAGAGTTTTGAATTCATCATTACCATTTTCACCATTAACAAGGTTTTCAATTTCAAGTCGATCCATTAAGTGCCAGGCCCTCGGTGAGAGCTCTCTTGATCGTACTGTATACCAAGGAGTTTACGGTCCTTGGACTGTCGAACCCACTGATGTCCGAGAGGTATTAATTTTTTTCCCCCTTTTTTTATTGTTGTTTTCTTTGAATTTTTTTGAAAAAAATTACTTTTGAGTATATGTCTGTGGTTATTGTTTTCTATGGAATTGGAAATTCTTTCTATTGGGTTTTTAAAACTGTTCTTGATTTGAGCATCTACGTTTTGGGATGGTTTGATTGAGTTATTTGGGTATGGTAAGTATGAAAGTTAATTGTATTTCCCTGTTTTTATATTCACGCTGTATTGGTTCTGTATATATTAGTGGTAATTTGAAGTGTTTTTCCTAATGCAACCTACACTATAGCACAGGGGTTGTGGCTTTTAGGCTTATGCTTTGTGTTAAAGCATGTATAGCATATTTTTCCTTAAAGGGCATTGGTAGTTGTGTTTTCTATTCAAGTAATGATAATATTGACAGCATGAAATGTGGTGTAATTAGCAGAGAAGATTAGTTGCTTCACAGGCGTGGGAAAGGAAGTTGTGTATGAGCTTGGGCAGAGACTTGAATCCAAGTCTATGGAAAAATTGGTGACAAATTTTACTAGTATTATCCTTAAAATTTAGGCAGAGTGAAGAGGGATAGATTCAAGTGGTATCTCTTCATCCTCTCATACAGGAAAATAAGGGTTCAAATCCGATTGGGCATACGGGTGTGTGTTGAGTTGGTTTCGTCTGTTTTTACTTACCAAAAAAGAAAAAATAAAGTAAAAGACAAAGAAAAAAAAAAGGATATGTTCTACCTTAATGTACTGTTGCATATTTCTATAAGTGTGGTTCAGTAGAGCCATGTAACAAGAAGGCCAAGTTCTTTGCTTTATTGACAACATTTGATATGTAAAGTAACCAATCTCTTGCCGATGGAAAATTAGAGGTTTGTGAAATTTAAAAATGGAGATATAACCTCAGCAAGAGATATGCTTTGGGACATGGGCACGGGGTCTTTGTTACTAGCTGATTGATTATCAAAATTTCTTCAGCATATTTTCAAATAAAACTTAACAACATCATCGCAGTTGAAGGGATAAGCAAGAAAAAAGAAAAGAAAGAAAGAAAGAAAGAAATGATAAGTAAAGTTTTAGCTATGATTGCTATGGAAGTGTAATTAATATTCAGAAGTAGAATTTTCTTATTAAAATGACATGAGATTCTAAAATCCCTGTCTTCTTAACCTACTTAGGAAATGAAAGTAATTTGTTACAGTTTATGGATATTAACAGAAATTTAAACCATGCTCAGAAATAAATGGTGATCCTTTATGGTATCCCAATACCATGATTCATGTAGGTTAAGTCAAAGTTTCTCAGATTGGTTAACTAGATTTTGGTGACATGGTTAGAAATGTGTTTGAGCTTTTCAGTGATACTTTTTTCACTTCAACAGGTGATTTTATACAGATCAGGGTTAGTTACTGCTGCTGCATCATTTGTTCTTGCAGCTTCAACGGCTTTTTTCCCCGAAGGCTCCTTACTGGGTGATTTAACTAAGCAAAATCTTAACCTATTGTATGCAGTTGGAGCTGGTGGGTTAGGCTTATCTTTAGTGTTGATTCACATTTATGTGACTGAGATTAAACGCACACTTCAAGCACTATGGGTACTTGGTGTTTTTGGATCTTTGGCAACTTACATTAGCCTTGCTCAACCAGCTGGTCGGAACTTAGTACAATACGTTGTTGACAACCCAACAGCGGTCTGGTTTGTTGGTCCGCTCTTTGCGGCACTGACAGGACTTGTCTTCAAAGAAGGTATGAGTCTAACTTCTTTAGTTCTTCTTTCATGGTTCAGTAATGAGAGAGTTTGCAGTTTCAGTGAGGTGTCTTTGTGATCCTCCAAATAGGGAAACCTTCAACAGATTATTCAGTAAAATTCGGAATCAATTTTGATGCTCAGAAATATAAGACTCTGAGCAAAGGCTTTGATATGTTAGAGTGCACAAAGCCATAACATAGATCTAGAAGGGAGGGGGTGAATTTATCTTAATCAATTTTAACTAACAATAACTGATTTTTAAATTATCATAACTGTAGTTTATAGTGTAACATTTATTATAGAGCAAAAATAAACAACCATGTAATCACACAAAAAGACACGAGTTTTACGTAGAAAACCTTAAGAGGGAAAATCATGGGACCTAGTTTGGATAGATCGAAATTCACTGTACAAGAAAGAGACTAAAACTAAGTTACCAGATTCACCCTAGAGTTACCTAGTCCATCTCGACTCAAACTTAGCAAGTTCTCTCCATATTCTTCTCTTCCTACCGCTAACCCATCAACAGACTCGCTCCTCGAACTTCTGATATCCAATGACTACTGACATCTGGAATGCTGTTTGTTGTGTGATTTGGTGTTAATGACGATTTAAAGTCCACAAGTTGATAATCAGCACTCTGATAACACCTCACCAACTAATGCAACATATGGTCTCTTTATTGATTTATCAAAATATATATATTTATATGGTCTCTTTATATGCTCTCTTAATAATGTGTGAAGATTACTCTTATATTTATATATATGTTACGAGAGCCTAGTTTATATAATGTTTTGAGTCCAAAGGAATTGGGGTTTCTTAGTTATAATCATAAAAGGAAACCTAAACTCTTTAAATTTCTGAGTTGAAAAGTTTTCATAGAAACATTTCATGCCATTTGATCGATTGAGCCTTTGATCAAACCAACTGGCAATTGCTTCAATTGGTGGTCAATGTCTCTGATCCAAGAAAATTCCATTGATGGATTTTTTGTTATTTTTTTTCCACTTTTACCGTATTGATCACCTTATCTGTATTGTGTCATGTCCATGTCCCTACCTGTTCTTGTAATTCATATAGTCAATGACGGAGCTACCTTGGTCCTGGCCCCCTCTCAAATTTTCTATATTTACATTTTCTACATATAGAATATTAAAAAATTTAAACTGCCCCCCTCAAATTTTTATAGTTTCATTTTGTAGATATAGAATAATAAAATTCTAAAATTGCCATAGGCTTTTTATCTTTAGCCTCGATTTAATCTCTCTCTCTCTCTGATCCCTCAAACTTCATATCTCCATCTTTTGTCCTTTCTTTTCCTATGCGACTCTCTTTTAGTTATTTTTCTTTAATCAAGGATCACAATCTCTAACAAGGTACGGAAAACCCCCCTAAATAAAACATCTTTGTTTATTCTTTTTAATTGTATATTATAAATGGATATAACGCATATCTACCTGTTGGAAAAATGTGAAGACATATTGTAAAGACATTGTTTATATGCTTTACTCTAATTATCAGTTATTTTTTTATTTGGAGAACCTAACTAAAAATAGTTCAAGTTTCAATACAAAGACAAGTTTCACTCACTAACTTTTAATTATTGCCAGCGAGGACTTTCTAGGTTTGCTAAGTCCCAACTAAGTTGACTTATTGTAAGATTCTTAATAGTATTCACTAGAAGAGGGAATGAAGGATACACTACAACACATGTACACGTTTGAATTTGTTTTGTTTTGTATGATTGTGTTATTTAAGTATACATAGTTTTTCTCTTCAATTTGTATGAAAATCTTGCTTATTATAAAAATTCATCGAACAATTATAAATGTAATAATGAAAATATGATCAATCAATATTAAGTTCTTATATTTATTTTTTTATTTTAAAAAATATATCTTCAAAACTTTTTATTTTATTATTCTTCAACGTCAACCCCATCAACTACCTATAATTGTTTGTAGTCGCCAACTCAGTTGACACTAAGTTTTCAGATGAGTTGTCAGTGTTCGCTGTGCCACGAAGATTTATGTGATACCTTGTATGTTCGGTGTGCCTTCGATCACCTAAGAGTCTCAATCAGTGGTTAGAAGTCTTGATCAGATGGCCTAAAGAGTCTCTCGATCAGTGGTCAAAAGTCTCGATCATGGCCTAAGAGTCTCTCAATCAGTGGTCGGAAGTATCGATCAATGGCCGAAGAGTCTCTCGATTAGTGGTCAGGAGTCTCTCGATCAGTGGTCGGAAGTATCGATCAATGGCCGAAGAGTCTCTTGATCAGTGGTCAGGAGTCTCTCGATCAGTGTTCAGAAGTATCGATCAATGGCCGAAGAGTCTCGACCAAGTCATGGCCTAAGGAATATGACATCAACCATGATCAAGAGTCTCGACTAACCATGGCCGAGGAGTCTCTCGACCAACATGGCCTAAGTGTCTCGATCAATATGGCATAGGAGTCTGAGTCAAATATGAGTCATGACCTAAAAACCCTTCGACCAACCCATGGTTAAGAATGACATTTTAACGATAGTGTCGAGAGTAGGCCTAATTGTTGGACAAGCTCAGGCCAAGATGGATTCAATATCTTCTTAGGTCATATGCACTTGAAGAATATTTGGTATAAGTCAAGTGGAGACCAGCCATGAATCCCAATATCTCAAGAACCCAACAAATCAGGTATGAAAACTTAAGAAAAGCTTGAAATGGAAAAGACAACTTGACAATGTTTAAAGTTCAGGGATTTAGAGATAAAAATGGAAAGTTCTCACCTATCTCTGACGAAGAAGGTAAGAATTGTAGTGATTAGAAGATTCCATAGCCAAAGAACAGGTCAGAGTCAGGCATGGTAGTTAAAGATAGCTGAGAATATAGTGGGAGCCAGAATTATCAAGCATGAAAGAAGATGCATCCCTTAGCCAAAAATACGATGCAAAAATACTATGCCAAATATATATTTTTATCTGTCAATGGAGAAATATGTTAGTCAACATGACCAGCCCAACAAGATGGTTAGGAGAAGTCATTTTCAGCCTACAGCTAATTAATTTCTAGAAAAATGGATTAAAAGGGACGACACCAGATTAAAGCCTTTATAAATATCCACTCAAAAATTGTTTGGCTCGCAAAGTCGATTTCCACGTGGTGAGCCTAGATTAGTTGGCTCATAACATGGGTTCATGTAAAGTTCATGGGTGTGCCAGTGCTCCATAGAACACAAACGCGGGTAAGCCAAACTGTTCCTATTTCAGACCGTGAGTTGGTCCTTTTAAGGATCAGGCGACTGAAGGATAGTAGGAATGACCCTCTCTGTTAGGTTCTCAATGCCTTGATGACAAGGATTTTTGGCCTTGAAAATGGAAGCTTGATAAGGAGACAAGAAAATGAAGTGCAAATTAAGAAATTCAACACTTTCATGAAGAAGAGCATTTCATTAATGTTGGGAGAAAGATACATAAGTTAAAGATAACAAACTAGAGAACTAACATGCTAAGCAACTTAATTACAACTAGCTAAGAGTACTGAACTAAAGCTAAGGAGCTAAAGATAGACATGAAAGATAAAGTTCTGAACCTAAAAGTTATAAGCTAAGATAAATTAAGGAAGATAATAACAAAAGGCATGTTAGATAATGGTGCTGGACCCCTTCCTTGTGAGACTTGAGTGGGTATTTATAGAGGCTTCAATATGGTGTTGTCCCTTTCAATCATTTTTTCTAGAAATTATTTAGCTGCAGGTTGAAAATGACTTCTCCTAACCATCTTGCTAAGCTGGTCATGTTGACTTGCACATTTCTCTATGGACAAATAAAATTATATATTTGGCATATTATTTTTTACTAAAGGAGGCATTTTCTTTCACGTTTGATGATTCTGGCTCCCAGTCTATTCTCAACTATCTTCAACTACTATGCCTGACCCTGATGTGTTCTTTGGCTATGGAATCTTATGTTCACTGACAATTCCGACCTTTTTCATTAGAGATAGGTGAGAACTTTCCATTTGTAGCTCTGAATCCGTGAACTTTAAACATTGTCAAGTTGTCTTTTCCATTTCAAGCTTTCCTTCAGTTTTCAGACCTGACTTGTTGGGTTCTTGATACATTGGGATTCGTGGCTGGTCTCCATTTAACTTATACCAAATATTCTTCAAGTGCCTATGACCTAAGAAGATGTTGAATCCATCTTGGCCTAAGCTTGTCTAACAATTAGGCCTACTCTCAATCACTATTGTTAACATGTCATTCTTGACCATTTATTGGTCGAAGGGCGTTTAGGTCGTGACTTATATTTGACTGAGACTCCTCGGTCATACTGATCGAGAGAATCCTCGGCTATGTTGGTCGAGAGACTCCTCGACCATAGTTAGTCGAGACTCTTGATCACGGTTAATTAGTTTTCTCAGGTCATAATTCCTTAAATGATGACTTGGTCGAGAGACTCTTAGGCCATTAATCGATACTTCCGACCACTGATCGAGAGACTCTTAGGCTATAATTGAGATTTCTGACCACTGATCGAGAGATTGTTTAGGCTATTTGATCGAGACTTCTGACCACTGATCGAGAGACTCTTAAGCCGTCTAATCGAGACTTTTGACCACTGATCGAGAGACTCTTAGGCCATGATTGAGACTTCTAACTCATGACTACTGGAGTCTTTTTTTGGGTCAGTTTGGTGTCCAAGGGGTTATGCCTCGGACTTCAAGGGATTTGATTGACGTGTGGAGGGGCTAAAGGGTGAGGGTTCATGCTTGTGACTATTAGAGGGCGAACGCCCTTTGTGTTTGGTGGAGTCTTTGGAAAGAACAGAATAGAAGATCTTTTGATTGGGAGGAATCCTCCATTGGGGCATTGAAGTTTTCTATTATTTATTCTCTTTTTAGTTGGGTCATGGGGAGAAATTTTATATCTTTAGGTGAAATCTTGGACTTTTTGGGTTTTTTGGGTCCATAGGACTCCCTTTTTGGTTTCGGTATTTGTATAGCTCTTGGGACACGGT